TATTACCCAAAAAGGGAGCAAAGGCCAGTCGAGTGGCCCAGGGGCACAGAAAAAGAAGTCACCAAGTCCCTGGAACAGTGTCTCAAAGGAGAGCCCACTGCAGATAAATAAGCCTTACTCTTAGAAAGGGGGGCGACAGGGCCCTGAAGGGGTGGGATGCCTCACGTTTAGGGAGTGGGGCTACTAAACACAAAAGCATTCTCCTCTTCGCTGCAGACACAGTTGTGCATTTTAACCCTATGACTTCCCGGATGGAAATATCGAAGAGATTCACATTTCAGCAGGGGTTGTTAATAGGTGTGTGTGTGGGAGGAAGTGGGTGGTGTAGAGGTTACATGGTGGGCTTTAATCCGCCAGGTCAGCCGTTCCAGACCACCAGCAGCTCCTCCGGAGAAAGACCAGGCTTTCCACTCCCAAAAGAGTTGAGTCTCAGAAACTCACAGGGCAGTTCTACCCTGTGCTGTAGGGCCACTGTGTGTTGGCATCAACTCGATGGCAGTGAGTTTGGTTTGGCTTTTTGAGTGTATATGTGTGTGTGTGTGTGCATATACCATGCATATATGTGCATGTGTGTGTGTATGTGTGTGTGTGTACACACACACATTCACCTGAGGCGGCTTCAGAAAGTTTGTGGGAAAAGCCCATTCATCACTTTTCATTCAATTTTCCACAAACGTTTTGAAGCCCCCCCGTGTATACATACTATGTAAACACACAAGGGTATGTTCGAAAGTCTAGCTACAAGGTTCCAGTTCACATGTGCGTGGGCGTGTTCCACACAACACGTGTTTGAACAAGTCTCTGCAGTACAACCCAAGCAGGACTGCAGACAGTCCCCTCCTGCACACACTTGCCTTCGTCCCCTTACATGAGGGGGCTTAGAATAGAGGGCCAATCAAACAGTGGCTCCCAAGGGGATCTTCTGGGTCAGTTCAATCCAAAGCAGACGAGTCAGCTCAGAAGGTAGATGTAGCTTTGTTTTTGTTTTTGTTTCTTTAAGGAGGGAAGCTGTGGTAGTTACATAATCTGGTGTCAGTTAATTGGGGACTTGAGAGGATTAAGAGTGAAGGGGTGGAATCTAGTCTGTCAATAGGGTCATAGTCAGTGAGGCCTCTGTGTGGGCATGGCCTTCTCCTGAGGATTCTGGGAACTCCTGTATTTCCTCCTTGGAGGCGGGAGACACCTCTCTCTCTCTCTCTCTCTCTCTCTGATCACTCCCTGAGAGACGCTCTACTGACAAGACTCATGGCGCTATCACCTGGGAGCTGGAGAAGCCACATGGACCTATCCTGATGCAATCAGACCTCTGGAGCCGGAGAAGCCACGTGGAGACCCCTGCCAGCACTGAGATGCTTCCACCGCCACTAGATCCAGAAGACTTCTAACCCACTGGCCTGTGATCATCCTGTATTCGTGTGCTGCATGAATCTGAAGAGGATTTTATAGCTTGGTATCAGACATATGGGTTAATTTCAGACTTATGGACTTGATCTGAACTGAACTTGGATGTTTTCTCAATATCCAATTGCTCTTGTATATAAACCTCTTTCTTATTCACGTATGCGTCTCCATGAATTTGTTTCTCTAGTCTACCCAGACTAACACAGAAGTGTTGCAAAGGAGTCGTCTTGATAGATGCTTTTAAAGGACACAGGATGATCATTGAGACAGTATGAAGTTTTAAAAGAAAGTGAAACCCCCCATTGGGGAGAAAAAGTCAAGCAAGTTGCACCTAGGGATGTTTCCTATCACAACCCCATGCTTATTTGTCCAAGGGCAGCAAGGGATGTCCTATGTGAATTTCCTTGGAAAACCTTACATCAATGACCTCTACAGCCCTGATGTGGCCCCTTTAGACTTTTTTGTTCCCCAAACTCAAAGGATATTGAAAGGGACCACGGTCTGGGTCCCTGGAGGCTGCCACTGTAACATGGCATACATTGGAGTGTGTGGGCTTCTTCAGATACCTAAAATTAGGATAAAGGCATGACATGGTTGGCTTATAAACTTTCATAGGTGGGAAAACATATTCACAGAATTATAGGATTAAGGTGTAGGTGTTACTTAATTGCAATTGGGAGGCTAAAGAATTATGTATGCGTGCCAAGTTGGCAAGGGGTGGATTGAGGTAGTTTATTGTGCCAACCTGGCCAATAAACACATGTGGGGTTAACTGAAGGGTGGAGGGATAAATGGCTCGGGGAACCTTGACTTTCTAGTTCTCGGGTCTCTTGCTTTCTGATGGGTGGACCAGGGTGCAGCTGCCTTACCCTGTTCCCTACTTCAGCTGGCAAAGCTCACTTCCTGCAAGACATCCCTGAGAAGCCATATGGATCTACCCTGATGCAGCCCTGGGTGCTGGAGCAGCTGTGTGGAGACCCCTGCCAGTGCTGAGATGCTTACAGGTTCACTGATTCAGCTTTCCTCCTACAGTCGGCGTCACTGCATCTGTTTTGTGAGATGGAGGAGGACTTTGTGGATTGGTGTCAGGCATATTGGTTAATGTTAGACTTGTGGGCTTGAGCAGCACTGGGTTGGGATGTTTTCTTGGTGCACACTTAACCTTCGTATAAAACTCTCTCTTATAATGAGTTTCTGTGGATTTGTTTCTCTAAAGTACCCAGTGTAACACAGAGCCCCAAATAAAATGATTTTTAAATTAATGAATTGATTATTTTTAAAAGTTTGCTGTGACCTGGGAGCAATATCTTTTGATAACTGTCAATGTAAATGATATAGACATAGAGATGAAGCAGAGAGACAAACTTCAAAAAGTTAATGGGAAATCCCCATTGTCTTTGAATTCCATTTTCCCCCCAGGAACTTTGTTGATAATAAAAGTAAGGATCTTGATGGCATCCAAAACCCGAGAAAGCCTTTAACAAGCCTGGGTCCAAAAACTCAGATGAACTTGCATTTGATAACATAATGTTAATGATTGCACCATTTGATACAATAATGTTAACGGGCGCACAGCTGATGTCCCAAGCAGTGTTTTGGGGCGTCTCGTGGATTTTCTAGGGACTTTCATTACCAACATGTTCCAGACCAGGAAACAAACTCAGGGAGCGTGGACCACAGCAAGTGGTGGGGCCAGCAATTGAATCCAGGCATCCTGCTTAGGAACCTTCCCCCAACAACATTCCCTCGTGGAAAGGGATGGGCAGCTGGAGAGTGGCAGCCCCTCTCGGCCCCACTCCTGGGCTGGGGGCTGAGATGCTCACAGACCAAAGTCCGAGCCCAAACCCTGCACCTCCAGGCCAGGGACGGAAAGGGGCACTGGGAGGACACAGGGACAACAGGCCCGTCCACTGCTTCCTGCCTAAGAGGATCTCAGTTCCGTGTGCATAGCAATTCTGATTTTTCTCCAGAGAAGTCTGAGGTCTTGAATTTCATGAAAATCCTTGCCATTTTTAAAGATTAGCTGTATATATATATTTGGATACCACATCAGCCAAATTAAATAAAATAAATCATCTGTCAGCCGGCAGCTCAGCTCCCATCAGAGAGGCACCAGGCCCCCACTCTGGTCTAGAAGGGCCGTGGCTGTGGGTTTGCAGGTCAGTTCCTCCAGAGATACCATGCTCCACCACGTCTGTCTGGGCCCTTCCCACAAGACGTCCGCACAAGCCCACCTCTTCCCTGGCTGGCCTTCCTGGGGAGCACCCAGAGATGGAAGAACCCCACACCATCTGACATGACATGCAAGGTTGGGGACAGAGGGATGTGGGGGGGTGTGGACTATCTAGCCTAGGACTTTTTAAGGCAAGATCATGCTGGGCTGGGGTGGAGGGATTATTTGCTGACAGAAGACGGGCCAGCGTCTTCCGGAACTCTGCAATCAGGGAGTGGGATCCACTCCCTGAGAAAGAGCGTGTGGGCCATCTTTCCCTTTCAGGCCTGAGACCAAAGCGACCCTGCAGTCTCTGGGTGGAGAACGTGGCCCTGACCTGTGTGAGAAGGCGCTCTGAGAGCAAACCAGGGGCGATGTTTAAAAAGCTGGAGGGGCGGCCCAGGGGTGGCGGTGGGTTTGCAACCACCGTGGTGGGACACGGTGAGCAGGGACAGTAAGAAGGCCAGCAGGACCCAGACGATGGGAACCCGTCACCAAATGAGCACACACAGCAGCAGCTGTGATGGTGCGTCTGTGGTTGTGTGGACTGCTGTCACCGGGGGCCAGGGAGTCAACCCAGACTCACAGGGACGGAATCGAACTGCCCTCCAGGGCTTCCGAGACGGATGTCAACAGGAGAAAGGGGCCAAGCCATACTCTCAGCGTGTGATCGAGCCCTGAACTCTGCACCGCCCAAGGGCTCCAGAGGCATTTTGCCACGATCATTCTTTTTTCTTTAAGTTGTGTGAGCCACAGTAGCCATTCCTGGGCTAGAGACTCCATCCGTCTGTGGGCTGGCTGATTAGCAAGAGCTTGTCCCGGTCTCTGGAAATGGGAGACCGGGGCCTCAGCAGGCAAGGAAATGGCCCTGCCCTGGAGGCTACAATGGTCCCTGGGGTGGGAGGCCAGACACGGCGAGCTCAGGAGTTGTTGAAAGACTGGCAAACCAGTCCTTCTCACAGTTCTCCGCAGCGGTCACCAGCACACGAGGCTGGTAGGTACTGAATGCTTAGTGGGCACTTAGACGCCCTGGTAGTGCTGTGGGTTAGGCATTGGGCTGCTAGTGGCAAGGTCTGCGGTTCAAACCCATCAGCCTCTTAAGGGAGAAAGATGAGGTTTTCCACTAAAATGGAGATTCAGCATCTGGGAAACCTCACGGAGCAGCTGAACTCTGTCCCGTAGTGTCTGGTGAGTCGGAACGGACTCGTTGGCAGTGGGTAGTTTGCTGCCAGCCCAAGAGCTCGGCGGCTGGGACGTACCATTGGTTTGTTCGCATTATTTAAGGGGGGGGGGGGGCGTGTCACTAAACCCGTTTAATAGATAATAAAATGAAAGTCCTATACCTGGCCTATCCAAGAGGTAGCCACTGGCCTCGTGAATTCTTCATTCATTCATTATCTTAAGGATGGTATTGTGTGTTACAATGTGCTCATTAACTGTATTAATTAAAAATTGAGATCCTTGGTCACACACACTCACCACAGGCCAGTGCCCAATGGGCCCCTGCACTAGTCAGCACCGTGGACCACTCCGCTCATAACCGGCCGGGCTGGGAGGAGGGCTGATGGACCGTAGAAGCGCACGCTCCCGCGTGCTAACTGCCTAGCATTAGGGAGCCGAGTGGCTTCATCCCATCCGTGTTTGCTGAGGGCCTACTATGTGCCCAGGACTGTGCCGGGGGTAGGGGGGGGGGCTGTCCAGCATCACCTCCAGGACTTCCTGGCGCACGTCGACGATGCGGAACCAGTGCCGGAGCTGGGGGAAGCCCTCCAGCTCGGCGGTGCGCTCCTGTAGGGCCACCTTCTTCTTGCAGGACAGCTGCCGGCTGAAGTACTTCACCAGCTTGCTCTGTGGAGACAGAGAGCAGGACAAAGGACATCTCAGACATGCTGCCGCCACCCCCGGGGTCCAGAGGCAAGCATCTCCCCCGCCCCCACCCAAAGGCTGGCCAACATTGAGTTAAAAGAATGCGGTTCAAGTCCACTGAAGTCCAAGTCTCCGCCCCTCTCCATGCTGTGCTGGTGAAGACAGGGACAAACAGGTTCACCCGCTGCTGGGGGGACCCCATCCGCTGGCATCACTTCCGTGGAGGGCCCTTTGGCCCAATGTACCTTTCCACCACCTGTCTACCGGGTTTGTTATCCTGCGGACATGTGCACGGTGATGGGATGCTGTTAGCTCTGCCGCCAGTATTTCAAATACCAGTGGAGTCACGCCAAGCAGACGCAGTGCAGCAAAGCTTCCAGACTAATAAGAAAACCCTGATGATCTACTTCCAAAAGTATCCAGTGAAAACCCTGTGGGTCACAAGAGAACACCGTCTAATCCACTGCGGGCAGATGAGTCCCAAGTGTGGAAGGGACGCACAGGACAGCGGAGCCCAGGGATCCCAGGTGGCACACGAGGCAGCTCTCCTGCCCAGACTGTGTGCCACAAAGACCCAACAACACAAGTGGCAGGGGTACAGACGAGATCCGTGGGACCCAGAGCCTTGAAGGGTAAAGAATGAGATGAAATGACCATCAGAGGGAGAGACTGAACAAGGGCAGGGAGCACAGACCCGATGCTCAGCAGTGCTTTCCCGACAAGCCAGCCCAGCGGGGTCACTTAGAAAGATGGCACGTCGCATCACAATCTCGGGGCCGAACCGCCGAACCCGCTCCACCTACGCAGGCCTGCATCAGCACCCACCTGAGTGACTGGTGAGCAGAGCAGTCTGAGCTCCTTCCTCCCCCACACAACCTCTTGCTGACCACCCCATCCCCTGGGCAGTCAGTCCAGCGCCTGATGACCACCGACATTGCTGATTTTCTTTTTCTTTTTTCTTGGTTTTTACTTTCCTCTTCTTGGTTAATGAGCCACCGGAGAGCAAGCACTCTGTCTCCATCCATCCACAGTCAGTCGGGCTCACTCCCTCGGAGAAAGGGCCAAGGCCCCACTGCAGCTGTTTGGCCACCAGCACCTGCACCAGGACTGAAAATAAACCACCTCGCCCAAATCCAACAAGCACACAAAACCTCAAAGCCGTCCAGGCAATACTGACTTGTTGAGACGGGTTACAGGCCAGGATAGAACTTTCTGAAACGGTAACTCTGTACAGCAATAGAAAGCCTCATCTTTCTCCTGAGGAGCCTGCTGGTGGTTTTGAACTGCTGACCTTGCGGTTCGGCAGGGCAACGCATAACCACTATGCCACCAGGGACCCTTCCCCAAAATAAGGAGGTAGAAAAATCATAAAGATTCTGTAAGCACTAAAGCACCAGCAATGAAGAAAATTATAAGAAAACTCACAAACGAATGAATTCAGCGCAGAAACCATCAGCGACACAAACACTCAAATAACTAGCAAAACGACAGACGTAAATTCCTACCTAGTGACAATTATGCTGAAAATAAATGTAAGATTAAAAGCCCCAGCCAAGAACCAGAGGGTTGCAGAATGCTTAAGAAAATATGGCCCATCGATAGACGGTCTACAGAACACATTTTAGCCATAAAGGCTAAAACAGACTGAAAATTAAGGAGAGAAAATTGTATCACGCAAATGGCAACCCAAAGAGGAAGGGGAGCGGCACTAATAACTCCTGATAAAATGGACATTAACACAAACCCAGCCAGGACATCACAGAATGATGGAAGGCTCGAACCAATCAGGGGGCAGAGGACACAACCCTAATAACAACACACTCAACGACAGAGCCCCAATACACATAAGTGGCACTCTAATACAACTGAAGATTCAAATAGACCATGCCACAGTAAGAGTAGGAGACTGCCCTACACCACGTTCAACAAAGGATGGAACCAGAGAGACGCTCAACACAGACACGCGGGAATGAAAACAGTCCACAAACTAGACCTCAGGTGTATACAGAACACTCTGCCCGTCCACCGGTACCATTGACTTTCTGTTCCAGTGTGCATAGAACAGTCTCTATGATAGAATGTGTGCTAACCTGTGGGAAACAGAGAGATTTCCCCCAAGTCGTCTCCCCCAAATATATGTTAGACTTAGGGCACTCCTTGCAGCTAATGGTAAATGATTGTCAAGTTATCTCCCTGAAGGCAGTCGGTCCCCAGACAAGTTCTGGTCCCACCACAAGTAGGGCCCACTCCCTGCTGTTAAGGACAATGGGCTACATCTCCCTAAAGGCTTGCGGCCATCAGTCTGGTCCCTGTAGATGAGGTTTACACCCTACTGATAATGGTTTCTATAGTGAGCCAGAGTACAGGTCAAACCTGCTCAGTGACATCCAAAGTTAGGGCGCCATCATGAATCTAGGTTCTGGCCATCTTGCCACATCGTGTATCCCTTATTCCCTCCTCTTTCAATAGCATATTAGCCCCTAGATCGAACCCCTCCCATTACTGTATTACCTATAGCACAACCCTTTCCTGTGACGCACGTCTTTACCTGTAATTAGTGGGCTTGCACAGCCCCCAAAGATATATAAGCCTGGGTTAGCAATAGAGAGCTCTCTCCCTGGCTCTCCACTCCCCCTTCCTCTCCCCTGGTCCTTGCTCCCCTGTTCCTTTCCCCTTGTCCTCTTCTCCCGCCCCCACCCCCCTCTCTCCTGCCCTCTGGTCGCCCCTCTCCACGTGGACCACCAAGCAGGGCTGAGGTGAGCATGTAACCATGAATTGTGTAATCTGACTCCATTATTTCAATCTCTCTTCTATCGCTCATGCTCTCTAGGACTTTATTATACTCTTTAAATATCTTAACCATACGATTGTGCCTATTGAACCCACGATTAGTTGTGGGGGCTGGCCTTTCCCCCACATTAACCTACAAAGCCAGCCACACTCAACTTAAAAACAGTGAAATCGTACAAGTCATCTGCTACAATCCCTATGCTATATAATTAGAAATCAAATAGAAGATATATATATATATGGAAATTTAATAACATTCTGCTTTGAAAACTACTGGGTAGTAAAGGAAAAAAATACTAAGTACTAAAATCCAGGTGAGCAGCTACAATTAGGAAGCGAACGCATTACATATTACACATCACCGGGGTTCACCGAAACCCAATGGAGGGTTTCTGAGGCTGTACATCTTAATAAGAGCAATCAGCCTCATCTTTCACCAGTGGAGTGGCTGGTGGATTTGAACTACTGACCTTGTGGTTAGCGTTTCAATGCTTACCGGACAGCACCATCAGGGATCCTTTTTTAAAAACCACAAAAGGCACTGTACTGTGTTGAACTTATATTTGTAGACGTATATATGGTGCGTTTGTAAATACAGAATGCACATCAAACTGTAATTGAAAAAATGATGTGTACACGTCAAACTCGATGTAACTGAAAGGATGGTATGCAACAGGAGGAAACACCACCGTCCTCCCAATTGTTACTCTGTTTGGGCCCTCAATCCATCTTGTTGGGGGCCTGCTTCCTTTTTGCTGCCCCTCCACTTTACCAAAGGTGATGTCCTTCTCCAGGGACTGGTCTCTCTTGATCACAGGTTCAAAGTACACAAGACAAAGTCTTCTCAGCCTTGCCTCCAAGCAGCATTCCGACCATACTTGTCCCAAGACAGATTTGTTTGTTCTTTTGACACTCCACGGTACGTTCAATAGTCTTCAC